CACACATGTGTACACACCAAGATTTCTGCTCTTAAAAGCAGAAGACATGATATCTGGATCCCTTTCTTTGCAATTTTCCTTCTGGGGTCTCTTTTTCTCACTCATAATGTGAGAGTTTCAACTCACATTTGATTACTTTCCGCCCTGCTCTATATAATCTCTATGTTTTGTTTTAAACAGAAAACATTAGGTTACTTTTAAAGACCTCGCAGCATTTTATCTGGTCTAACCCACTGCACATTATGTCACTATGGCTTCAAACCATGTCTTCTTCTGACCTATGGGTGTAGCTCAGTGCTAGAGTGCTTGCCTGGTATCCACAAGGCCCCCGTTCTATCCCCAGTATCACTAAGAAAATCCTCTTCTCTAAAAAGTGTTGGTGGTTCATCTTATGCACAGAGATATCTTTATGCCTTTGTTTAGCAGTTACCTAAAATTCTGTTGTTTGCTTTGATTTCTGCCAACAGAAGAGGTGGACAGTAAACTGACACAGGAATCCTGAAAGCCCATGATAAAAGGTCTTCAGATAGCAGCTACCTAGTACCAGGTTTAGGAGAGCTGCTGCCTAAGAGCAGGACGGCCACTAGAGGGCGTAAGGACACACGCCTCACAAACCTTTGCAAGGAACCTTACTAGAGCGCCTCACGCTAGACACTAGAGTCTAGTGGGAGACACAGGAGACTCATGGCCCCGTCCCGACCTCCTGAAGTGCCTCTCCACCGTGAGTTGTTCTGGCAATAACATTCATCGAGGAATCAACTGGGTATATATTCAGTGCAAGGGGCTGGAAATGGAGGCGAGGTGGTGGCGAAGGGTCCCTCTGTCTGAGTTCTGCCTCAGCTCCACGCCTGTGTATATGAATATGCCTGGGCTACTTTAACAACATTCCTGGATGGAGAACATTTTTCACTTTTAGACTGGGCAGCTTAAATAACGGACCTATCTAGGAGGCGGAGAATTCAGATCCTAGCGCAGGTCACTCGGGGTCCTGATGAAGGTCTCCTCCCTTGTCCTCACAGTATCCCACATAGCAGAGAGAGGTGGGGGGTGGTACACTGGCACTCTGGTATCTACGAGGACACTCATGGCATTGGGTCCCCTCCCCGCTTTCCCATGACTCTCTTTGGCCTTATTTCCCACCTCAAGTCCCTCTCTCTAGCCACTGACCCACTGGGGTTTGGGCTTTGACAGGGTAGTTGGAGGATGGGGATGGCACAAATGTCCATCCCATGATGCTCATTCTGGTCTTGTCACTTCCCATTTGTTCAAATCTAATTTGTCCGCGTATAAAATGGATTGCTAATGGCATTCATTACAGCGTTTGGAAGAGTTGGTGCATTAGCCAAGAAAAGCGCACATTACAGAGTATCCATTGAAGTTGCTCTCAGCTTCGGCTTCGTTGTTTGTGCCTGAAAGCATGTAACGTGTAGCCAAACTAAATTTAGAAGCCAGTTCTCCTAACCACTGTTCTTTTCAGTTAAAAATCAGCCAGTAAAGTGATTTTGTAATTTTAAAGACATGAAGTACAGTTCATAGCTTTCTTCTCTGGCCAAAAAGCACAAGTGCATGCTGGTCTACCCATATCCCCCAAGCTGTACGGACCTGTCAGGAGCACCTGCAAACTGTATGCTACCTACTTGCGTATTCCAGTTGTCCATTTCTGCCCCTACCAGCCAGCCCTTCCATTCATGTGGTGGGGAGAGGGCACTGGGAATGTCCACATGTCTGCATCGCTTACAACAACCAGGCCTCATCCTCCCCCAGCAACTCTAAGTCCCATGCCTGTTTTAAAGAGGCAAAAGCAGAGAATGTAAGTTTTCCCCTAAATCAGGTAAACTGTGAGGCAAGATTCGAGCCCAGGTAGTGTATTCCTAAACTGATCACTCAGATGGTTGTTTATTCCATAACTGTTCTTTCTGGCATATTCTGCTTGACCAGTGTCTTGCTGTGCTAGATGTTAGATAAAATGTTTTCCTCTCACTTACGTGTAAGGATGTCATTCTGGAGTGCAGGGTAGGCTTAACACCATTTGCTTCCAGCTTCTGCTGCCTTTGTATGAAATAGTCTCTTTTCATGTAACATCATGATGTCTTTATGTCGCCACCACATTCAATGCTGATTTTAATAAGTGTTCTTAAAACTTTGTTCACCTTTTTCAGTAGAGGCAAAATACCTCATTTAAAACTTTGTTTAGAATCACATTTATTTTATTAGGCAAATAAAGAAATTAGGCTTCTCACTCATAATTACTGTAATTAAAAATGGAGTATGTATTAAATCATTTTGGATAACAAAAACAAAAACAGTATTTTAAATGAGCCTTAGTGGGTGCTATAATAAAAGCTGTCTTCTGCCAGGCGGTGGTGGCGCATGCCTTTAATCCCAGCACTCAAGAGACAGAGGCAGGAGGAGGATCTTTGAGTTCGAGGCCAGCCAGGTCTACAGACTGAGTTCCAGTACAGCCAGGGTTATACAGAGAAACTGGGTTTCAAAAAACCACGAGGGGTCGGGGTGTGGGGGAGCTGTCTTCTGTTTGTCCAATAGGGCAGTAAAACAGGTTTTTTTGTTTTTGTTTTTGTTTTTGTTTTTCCGTTTTTTTTTTTTTTTTAAGTTGGCTTGGTCCCCTCTCCTTAATTTCCAGTAGCTAGGAATAGTAAATATTAAGTGAGACTTTTAAAATAAATTATTTCTTTTCTGTCCTAGGCAAAATTGGATATTGCATTTGGAACACACCACACGTAAGCAGCTATTACGAAATGGGGAAGGTGTGATTTTAATTGGCCAAAGGATATGAGCAAGGAGCTTTAAGACCCGGTACCAGGATTCAGCCCGTCAGCATGGAAGCGTGAATCTGTGACTCAGGGTCTCTGCCTTTTGCTCGGGGCATCTGGTGTGGCCGCTTGGAAGCACAGAACTACAAGTATGGTCTTTGTGGCCAGAGATGATTCTTTCTGTGTGCACAAGCCGGTGCTTAAGGGGCCCCTGCTTCTCAAAAGTTCTGTGATTTGGCAAGCATGAGTTATATTGAATAGTCTATTATTAGTCCCATACTCGGATTAAAAGGAAACTAATTTTACCAGAAGTTGCCAGTTTGCAAGGCTTGTCCCAGGTCCAGCGAGCTCCTGAGCTGTAAGTGGCAGACAGGCCATCCTGGCCTGCTCCTTCCTGTGTGACACAGTGTGCCGGGTGACAGCGTGCTCCATCTTTCTTAACTTCCCTTTACAGCAGTTTCACTGAGTCCTTTTGCAGAGCCCCGTGCGCTACAAGTTGGAAAAACAAAACAAAACGTGGTTGTCCTTATTTCAATATTTTTCTAAATCACATTTCTCTGGAAAGGATTTGTCAGAAGACTGTGACAAAGCCTCTTCTGTGTTTTAAACCAGTGGTGGGAGTGTGGGGCTGGCTGCCCCCAGGTAGGAAGCCATCTGCCTGCCTATGACTCTGCTTCCTGCTGAAGCAGTGGCCTGAGATGACAGTATTGTGGCTGCCTTTCTCTTTGTGTGCATGAAACAGTTACTTTTGCCAATCCGGTGTAAGAAGGAGCCAGAGTAGAAGCAGCTCAGCCTCTCCGTGAAGCTATAGGGCCCACCCTGTGACTTTAGTGCCCTGAGTAGATACATACGGTCACATCGACAGACCACCCCTAACTGGTAGCTTCTGTCCACTAGGGGACAGAGTTTGAGGACGGAGAGTGAACTCAAGCACCTGACTCATGCAGAAAATACTCATTTGCTAGCGCTGAGCTCACAGGATGCCAATTTCAGCTCAGAATACAGATTGCCATCAATGGGGGCAGCTGAGCCATAATGCAGGCAGGAAGTCCTTGTCTCCCACCCTTAGCTGAAACCCTGGGATAATTATATCTTTGGTTCCAGAATGCCTTCCGCCAGCCCTGTCACCATGTGGGCTCTGGCATGATTTGTTAGACCACCAGTGCCGGATTTCTCTGCCGACCATGTGGTCGGCACTGTGTAATAAGCTTTACAAGTGAAAAGCCCCAGCCTGTCTCTGGACCAGCAAGCAGTGGTGATCTTGTGCCATCGTTGGTCGGTTGTGGTATCACTCCTGGGAGGGACTTGAGGGTTCAGATGTCTGCTCCAAAGCTGGCAGGGCGATGCTTCACTGTGATTGGAGCAGGGAGGGAGTACAGGGAAACTGTTCTTTGTTTAAAATGTCACAATTGTTTGGTCCTGTTAATACCATAGACCGGAAAACTAAGACCAAGAATAAATGAGTTGATTTTCCTCGGGGATGAAAACAGGAACAGAACTCACTTTTAGTTTTAGTTTTTAATCTGTCTTGTTTGCTCATGGCTACAACTGACTTCATTATTTCCTTTGCTTCATTCATCCCTTGCTCCATATAGCAGCTCACACATGCACATTCTGCAGGTTAAATCCAATAGTTCCTAATTCAGGGAAGCTGGAGTAGAGCCGTTCCCAGCTAGAGAGTATCCACAGTTCACATTTTGCTGAGATGCCAGTATCTTGTGAAGGATTGAACTCAGGTCTGGAAATTTTGGTTGTTTATTATTTTGAGAATTGTTCATCCAGGGAGACAGCACACACATGCCTGTAATCCCAGCTCTTGAGAGGCTGAGACAGGGGATCAGGAGTCTACACGAGATCCCCATCTCATTAAAAGAGGACTAAAATTATCCATCAATACCTAGAATGCTATTGAGTCTCAAGTCTGGAGGATGTTATTTTTTTCTCCTCGTAGCTGTTCATCTTTTGGTGAGAGCACAAACCATAACATGTTTGGTAGAAAAGGAGAAAACCCCAGCTTGTAGTGATGAAATAAAACTGTCTTCCGAGCCTGGAGCTAACAACAACTATGAGGCGATTCCTGGGGTGCCACACACCTGAGCAAGCATGCACTGACCAGGCGATTGGCCAGGTACCTTGTGCAGAGCACATAGGGCACACAGCAATCCCAGGCACGGTGTGTTACTTGGTACTTGAGAATGGGAAAGCTCTTTGGTTTTCCCCAAAGTTGGGCATGGTTACCACCGATGGCTCTAAGAATGAATAGGGAGACACACAGCCAGAGCAGCTGAGTGGACAATGTCCTCCTCTAAGCAGGGGCCAGTCACAGCCTGCTAGGGCTCTCCAGCTGGCCCTTTTCTCACCAAGACCACATCTCCCACTCATTTTCTAGTAGCATAAAATGTTCCCCATCCCACCTCTAGCCATGTGCTCCCCACACAGTGCCCTGGCTTATGGGCACGTGTGAGTTCAGCCATCCTCTACAGGCTCGTTTGGTGACCTAGATAATAATCCACTTTCCTCCAGTCGCCAATTCTGCACTTGTAAAGTGAGAATTTCTTCTTCTTGGGATTGTCTTGACACATGCTAGATCATCCAAAAACAGTGCCGGGCGTGGAGGTACCCAACATGCACACCTTCCCATTTAGGAAGGAGCCCCCACTGTTTAGGGACAGTGCTGTGGGTCTGTTTGCCACCCTACTGCTTAGGGACAGTACTGTGGGTTCGCCTTCTTGGGGGGAGACTCCATTCCTTATCTTCCTATATTTTTAACTGTGACCTTATTAGCACACGCACTGTTGTCTATGAAAAGATTAATATGTCTCCCCTTAAATTAATTCTTAATTCTGTTTGATAGGATTCACTGACATCGATACATGATTTCCTTGTAATTGATGCCTTGATTAATGGAAATATTTGTAAAGCTTCTATCATGAATCCCAAGCTAGCTTATCCTTAATTATAATCAGCTGCTAATGTGGCAACTGTGTGTGTCAATTTGCCCAGATTTCAGGGACCGCGTCTCATAACTACAGAGAAGATAGCTCAGCAGCTGTCATTTCTCGAGCCTGGCATTAATTTATTGTCTGCCAGCTTGAATTACTTTCTCCTTTTGGCAAGAGCTAACTATGTCATTCTCTTTTCTGGTCTTGTTTTCTCCCTTATTTATTTATTTATTTATATTTATTTATTTATTTATTTATTTATTTATTTATTTATTTATTTATTTTCAAGAGGCAGGACCTTAGTCACACCAGAGCACAGTCACACAAGGTAGACTGAAATCTGCCAGCCCACCCCTGAACTCCTGGGTGCAGTCCTGCCTCAGCCTCCCAAGTTGCTAGAGTTACAGGCACGTGCCCCACGCCTAGCCTTTGCCTTCTCCTTTACATACCTCCTTGGGCCCAGCCTCCGCTCGTGGGGTGCTTCATCTGGGGAGAAACAGAGGCCCATTGTCACATGTGTCCACCGAGTTACATAGGTGAGTAATAAGTAGCATTTGGCCTCAGCAGAAGTGATAAAATAAGCCAAGCCAAGCGTTACAGCCTTGAGAAATGACAATGTCGTTCTGGAGAGGAAACTTTGGTCCCTTAATAACTGGAAACAATTGGAGATAAAAGTCACCCAGCACTAAGTCACAAGATAAAGCGGGGCACTGAACGGAAACAAATGTCCAAGTGACTCTTGAACCTTTACATTGTGGACGCTGGTTTTTGTCATCTTCAGCCCCAAGTTGAGGTTGATCCTTCATGACCCACATGAAAAGGCGGCTCAGGCAGACTAAACGGTTTACTAAAGCTCTTGTGGCTTCTCAAGGGCAGACTCTGGTCTCTCGACTTCACACTGAGAACTCTTGTGTATATCTGCTTTCCTCTCTCACTGGAAGTAAAGTTAAGAAAACGATGCTTAGTGATGCAAGAAGCCCCAGTGGGAAGAGGGAGCTCAGTCCAGTCTCACTTGAGTTCATGGAGGAAAAGAGAAAACTTACTTCAAGCCCAGATTCACAATGGTGACAAGTATGACACATGGAATACATGTCTGATCAGGACAGGGCATCTCGCATTCTTCAAACTGTAACCATTAGTAAGAGAGACATTCCATGTTTTCAGTATACTGCCTGTGTGTGCACGTAGTCACGGCCTGAAACAGGCTTCCTGAACTGATACCTTAAACCTGTGCCATGTATGCTTCAGTTGTTGGAAGCATGCTAGCCTGTTACCCAGCGGGAGGTTCTGGTCCTACCTTCCTTGTAGGATGATGCCTCCTACATGAGGCATGGCCCTGTGGTGCATCGTAGGGAAATGATAGCCGTGGATACTAAGGGACCTGTGACCCCCAGATATTCTGATCCTTTTTGGAGGATGGCGCTCTCCAGAAGGGGAGTTTATAATAATTAAAAGTTTGGGTAATATAAGAAGTTAAGAATTCCCCCAGCTGTTTCTTGCATTCTTATTAGAAACCTGTTTATTTGGAAAATTCTGCTCATGCTTTTGTTCACCTTCCTCTCTTTGAAGGAAAATGATGCTCTTGCTCTATGAAGAAGGCCTCCGAGTCGTCATCCACACCTCCAACCTCATCCGGGAAGACTGGCACCAGAAAACCCAAGGGTTGGTAGGGCCGTGCAGTGCATGGCAGTCCTTTATGCTGGGCAAAGGCAGATGATAGCTGCGTTCCTTTTTCTTCCTGTTTTTCTACTTGTGCAAGTAACAGGCATGCGCACAGAAAAGAGGCATACCAGAAATAGTCGTGGTATTTTCTTCTGCAGTGCAAAGCAAGTGATCTCCCCAAGCCACACCTCCATCCCCACAATCCTCTACTGCTCCCAGCCTCCATCCCACTCTCTCGAGGTAGCTAGTGTTAACAGCTTGGTGCAGACTGTCTATGACTATCACTGGCGTACACGAATATTTACGTGCAAGTGGTTTGCAAACTGTGTTTAGTTACTATAATATCTTTTTACTGTTTGAAAGTTCCTCACATGCACATACTTTTTCTAATCAGATCTGCCCCTTAGTTCCTCCCCTGTGTACTCCGGCCACCTTCCCTCTCAACTCCATGTGCCACTTAGTGCCACCTTTGTACATGGGAATAGGACCATCTACTGGTGTGGGAGGGCAGGTAGAGAGGCGGGTTTTCTTTTGTTCTGTGTAATGATTGTGTGCATGTTTGTGCGTGAGTGTGGGCACGTATGTGCTACCACATAGACGTGGAGATCGGATGACAACCTAGAGTGTCTCAGTCCTCCACGTCAGCCTTGTTAGAGACAGGTTGGGTCTCTTCTGCTGTGTCCACCAGGCTAGCTGGCCCAAGCTTCTGGGGCTTCTCTTGTCCCTACCTCCCATCTTGCCACAGGAGCCCTGGGATTATGAGTGTGAGTTACCATGCCAGTGTCATATGGATTCTGAAGATCCAAACTCCGGCCCTCACTCGGACAAGTTCTCTAACCATTGTGCCATCTCTCCAGCCCAAGAGTTTGTCTTTAAGAGGAGTTTTTAGGGGTGTGTTCAACTTGAGTTCAGCTACTTCTTTCCTCCTTGGTGAATGGCTTTAATTCCTTTTCTTTCACTGAAGTCCTTCTTGTACATCCCTGCCTTCCTGGGAGAGAGCTGGCTAATAGCCTTCTCTGTCTGAAGACAATACAGGCATTTGTATAGCTCATTTCAGAATCCCAGGATGCTTTGCTGCTGCTCCCCGCCCCCATATCTCCAGTGTTGTTGTGTAGCCTGGGCTAGAGCTTCTTTAGATAGTCCTCCCTCTGACCAGCTTTCCTGAGCCTCAGTGACCCATGGGATGAGCTGAAATAAGGAGCCTCCAGCTCATCCTCTGGGCCTGCTTTGACCTTAGTGTGGGCTCGGAGTTTCTCGTGTTCCTCTTAAACTGCGCTTCTCAGAGTAGTGTTATTCTACCTCCTGCAGGGTCAGGGGTCTCTGCCCTGTCTAAAAAGCCTTAGTCACAGGACTTGCTCTTCTCCGTCATCCCATCCTTCCCACAACACACACACACACACACACACACACACACACACACACACACACACACACTTCTTTTATTTTATTTTAGAGAGAATCTTTTATGTAACTCATGCTGGCTGGGAAAACACAGATCACTGTGTAGCCCAAGCTGGCCTTGAACTCTTAAGCTTCCTGTTTTGCCTTCCAAGTAAGTGCTGGCTAACAGGACTGTCTTGATCTGCTGAGTACTTTGTCCACTCCGGGCCTGGGGATGCATAGACAGCCCCATCAGAAAAGGGAGAAAGGTTTAGATAAACTTGTTCTCAGGGAAACCTATTATGAAACTAAATAGATTTATGAAGGTGGCTCCCAGTCTTAGGTGGCTCTCAGAACCCCACCAGTGCCTCTAGTTGATTCTGGAATTGTGAACTTGAGCTTATGGGCAACAGTTCTTCCTGAGGCTTCTCAAGCGAATGCCATGAGAGAGGGCATAAAAAGTAGGGGTGTGGCTGGTACTTTTATTCCTTTGTTTTTGTTTTTCAAGACAGGGTTTTTCTATGTAGTTTTGACTGTCCTGGAACTCACTCTGTAGACCAGGGTGGCCTTGTACTCACAGAGATCCACCTGTCTCTGTCTCCTGAGTGCTGGGATTAAAGGCGTGAACCATCACTGCCCGGCATTTTGTTCTTTTCTTTTTGAAAAAAAAAAAAAATCTAAAAACATATTAATTAGGTTGTATAGTTCATACAGGTCAGACTCAAAGCAAGAAGATAGGAACTGTCCCTCTGGCTTGCTTCCACCAGCCACCCTCGTTCAGGACCCTGTTGCCCTCCACTTTGTCTGCTCTTGATGCTCTCTGATACGCTGCAGTTCCATGTTGTGATTAAAAAACAAATAACAGGGCTGGAGAGATGGCTCAGAGGTTAAGAGCACTGCTTGTTCTTCCAAAGGTCCTGAGTTCAATTCCCAGCAACCACATGGTGGCTCACAACCATCTCTAGTGAGATCTGGTGCCCTCTTCTGGCCTGTGTGTGCAGACAGAACACTGTATGCATAATAAATAAAGAGGAATTTAAAAAAAAACAACAAATAACAGCAGCAGAAAACTCAAAGGCGGACTAAGAGCACTTGCCATTCACTCTTCTCACCGAGGACCTAGGTTGGTTCCCAGTTCCCACACGATGGCTCACAACCATCTGGGTTCTTTCTCCAGTTCCAGGGGATCCAACACCCTCCTCTGACCTTTGCAGGCACCTTCACACACGCGGTGCACGTACACAAACACTCATACAGATACCATCTAAAACGTCTTTTAAAACCCAAAACCTTCAAAGGAACTTTTCGCGTGCTGTCCTCCCTTGTTGGTAGTCTGTCTGCTCTGGCCGTGTGTGCCCCTGCTGTGCAGATGTTCCAGCTGTCCTTCTCAGCTGTTGCTTGAACAGGTCTTACAATTCAAATCATTTGTTGGATTCGAGAGGTATAGCTGGATGTTTTCCTGTGTCCCGCCTGGCCCCCAGTCAGGACAAATCTCTCTCACCCACAGTCCCACAGCTGCTTATAAAATAATCACTCAGAGGCTTAATATTATTTACAAACTGTATGGCCTAATGGCTCAGGCTTCTTGCTAGCTAGCTCCTATAACTAACCCATTTCTATTAATCTATAAGTAGCCACATGGCTGTGGCTTACCAATAATTTCATATCTTGCTTCTCCCAGCAGCGGCCGGCATCTCCTTCCTCTCTATCCTTTCTTCTTCCTGTCTATCTGCTTGAATTTCCTGTCTGCCTCTAAGCTGCCCTGCCATAGGCCAATACAGCTTTATTTATCAACCAATCAGAGCAACACATATTCACAGCATACAGAAAGACATCCCACAGCGGACAGTTGGCCCAGTAGTTAAGAGCACTTGCTGCTCTTGCAGAAGATCCATGTTAATTCCCAGCAGCCACATCAGGCCTCTCACAACTGTAACTCCAGCTCCAAGGGACCCGATGCCCTCTTCTGGCTTCTGTGGGCACCTGCAGCCATGTGGCACACACACCTGTACTCAGGCACATACACATGTAAACAAATAAATGGAAATTCCAAATTCTTTTCCCACCATAGTGTTCTCATATTATTTCACAAAGTATTAAGAATAACTCCTTTCTCAGTATCCTAGTTTAGAAAGTTATTTCCTCCCATGGTCCTCATCTGTCGCATGCCTGTTAGTGAACCTCTTGTCCTTAGGCTCAGAGATATTGGTAGGCGGCTACCTCACACATCTGTCTAGCCTAACTGGTCACTTTATACCCAGAGGCAAAGACAGCCCCAGAGAAGTCGTGGGACCTGCCTACAATGGCAAAGCCAGTGAGAAGCAGATGTGGTCCAGATGTGGGCTCCAGCCTTAGTCAGCCCTGTCCCTCTTATGCTAAGTGCCCCCTGTGGTAAGCAGGGAGTGAATGAAAGGTCACTCTGCTGGGAAGGCATGGAGCAGACATACATTCAGGAGCTCTCGCCCAGCCTGCTTCCCAACCTGGTAGCTGGTAGCCCACCAGGCTTCCTTGGGGAGCAGCTGTGTGAAAGGAATTGGGCCATTTCTGTTTGGGTTTGTAGGAGAACTGCAGGGGAAATAGCCACAGAAGGAGAAGACAGCGACAGCAAATACGGTCTGGGGTCTGACCTAACCACTGTCTCTGAGGACTCCTTGCAGCAGCCCTTTGGGGCAGAACTCTTCGTCTGGTTTTACCCTAGAAGAGTATCTAGTCCTAGAGGCTCAAAGCCACGCTGATTTTGTAATCTACCTGTATCGTATTGTTTTGTGTCTGTTGAGTTTAGATGTGGTTTTTTTCCCTGTGTAGGCCTGTTGTAGAAGTTAGGGCAAATGCACATCACGTGTGGTGGCACAGGACTGTGATCCCAGCACTCGGGAGACAGAGGCAGGCAGATCTCTGTGAGTTCAAGGCCAGCCTGGTCTACCAAGTGAGTTCCAGGACACCCAGGGCCGTTACATAGAGAAACCCTGTCTCAAAAAAAACAAACAAACAAACAAAAAGGGCAAATGCATTGTTTTGGGGGAAAGGAATTGATGAAATCAAAGTTGTCTAATGTTTTATCACTGTTAAGTGCTTAGCAGTTTGAGGCTAATGTACTCATTCTAGACACAAGAAAGTATAGGATATGAAAATATCTCAAACCACTACAGAATGTGCATTATAAAAAAAAAAGAACTTTCTTACTGAAAATAAACTTGCATACATTTTTTCTTGGTATAGATAGCTTTTGATTCTTAATTTGGCTAAAAAGCTACACTGATAAGGACCTGATTTTACATAAAGAGATAGCATTCAGAAATAATTCTGTGATGGGGAGTCCTTGGATCAGATGTGCTCAGATCTGTTTTCCTCCTGCAGGAAATCCCTCAGTCACCAACCCCATAAAGACAGTGACAGAAATTCACCTCCTGCTTCGGGTGACTGTATTGTTACAGTGTGAGCTCCTGGATGTTAAAAGGTGTTTGTTTTTGTTTTTTCCATTCTAGCATATGGTTGAGCCCTTTGTACCCACGAGTTGACCAGGGAAACCACACATCTGGAGAGTCAAGCACCCATTTTAAAGCTGACCTCATCAGTTATTTGACGGCGTACAATGATCCGTCTCTCCAGGAGTGGATAGACACCATCCGAGAGCACGATCTCTCTGAAACCAAGTACGTGTCCCCTTACCAATATGGGAGGCTGAAAAGGGACTCCTGAGTGGCGAGCCACACAGATCTGGAAGGCAGGGCCTTGGGAAGGAGTGGAGTGGTGTTTGACTGTGCTGCATGAGAGGGTGAGGGGATGAGAGCAGAGGTGGTCGCTCCACATCTCATGGTTCATGGGTATCAAGGTGGTAGTGGGTCTTAAGCCTCCCCTGGGGGTGATCGTAGAATTCCTGAGTTCTTTACCTGGTACCTTTGTGCAGGTAGCCTGCTATTTTATATGCTATCATATATTTATAATGAACTTCAGAATAGCGGTTACTATTAAGGAGGCATGGCCCTGGAATGCATTAGCTTCTTGAACTCTTCTGTTACATTAGTTTTTATGTGTGTTCTGTGGGTTTGGGGTGTCACAGCACAACTTGCATATTACTTTATTGTATTTTACTTTATCTAGTGTTTACCTTATTGGCTCAACCCCTGGACGCTTTCAAGGAAGTCACAAAGATAACTGGGGACATTTTAGGCTTAGGAAGGTAATAAAACTTTTATTATTTTAACATTTAAAATAATATAATGTGCCTTCTTTCTTCCTTTTCATTTATGATGGATATCTGTTCCTAGGTCTAAATCCCAACCTGTGATAGACAAGCTTTGTGTTCTTGACTTGTTCCTCAGCCTGCCTTTTGTCAGCTATAAAATGGACAGATTTGTGTCAAGTAGTGAATGTAAAAAATAGAAAGTTCTGTAAGCTGGAGAGCTTGTGGCCTGGGACTTGGTGTCCAGCCTAGGCAATAGAATGCATTTGTGTGATCGCAGATGCTGCAGCTTGATCAGCATCTGCGCTTTTTCAAGCCACTTGTCATCCAGCTCATGCTGCATCATAGCTTGGTTCCAGGGCAGGCAGGCCGATTAGAATGTATGCACGGAGACAGGAGTCGAACAGGGCTTTTTTCCGTGTGCTGCTTCAGAGCTGAGCCTACGGTAGAGAGTGAGTCTGGGAGCTATCAGTTCGGTTCTGTGTTTCCTACAGCATGCTGCAGCGCATGGAGACTGAGGGTGTGTGTGTGTGTGTGTGTGTGTGTGTGTGTGTGTGTGTGTGTGTGTGTAAATATTAATACCTGAGCTGTGGAAGGGAAGGTAATACATATTAAACCACAACATCAGTCAGAATCGGAGTTCCACTGGGCAGGAGCTGGCCACATTCTTCTCGCTGTCTGCTGCCTCCAGGTAGTACATATTTAAGTGGATAAAATTTCCAAATACTTGCCCAGTTATTCCTTGAAGTTTGCATAAGTGTCAAGGCAGGAAATGCAGATCAATCTTCTGCAGTGCTTTAGGTGGTTCGTATCCATATGTAAATAGCCCTTTCACATCAGACAGCCACACTGGAGGCCCAGGATTTTGTCTGTGCTCCCACCCCCCAGCCCCCTCAGGCCCTTGCATATGCTAGGCTGGTTCCAATGCAGCTGCACCCCAGCCCTGGAGCACAGTGTAAAGGTGAGAGCTAGAAGGTCTTTCCAAAGGTAACAGACTGGAATGTACAATGGTTTAATCATGTTAGTTTAGTTTAGATGTATTAGACAATTGTGATTTCAGGGTGAGTTTATCTTGATATTTCTGCTAAGATGGGTCTTTGAAAATGTTTTATTTTGCTTTTGTTTTTAATGCAAATCAAAGAATTTTGGAAGAAACTTCCTGTCCACATATGTCTTAGGGTTTCTATTGCTGTGAAGAGACGCCATGACCATGGCAACTCTTATAAAGTAAAACATTTAATTGGGGTTTCAGAGGTGTAGTCCATTATCATCATGGTAGAGAGCATGGAGGCATACAGAGAGTAGAACATCTTGCAGGCAACAGGAAGTCAATTGAAACACTGGGCATTGGAAACCTCAAAGCCCACCCCCACAGTGACACACTTCCTCCAGCAAGGCCACACCCACTCCAACAAAGCCACACCTCCTAATAGTGCCACTCCCTCTGAGGTTATAGGGGCCAGTTACATTCCAAATACCACAGCATAATGTGGTGGGGAGGGGACACATACTTTTAGTATTTAAATAGTTCCCAAAAAAGAAAGTATCTATGAGCATGATGTTGATGGCTAACATTTTCAGAGTTTCCTTGTAAATTAGGTATTCCAAAGATACAGTCCATGTTGTTAGCATTAGGGCATTTCAGATACTGTTGTTACTCCTGTGACTGTTGCATTTATTTTTATTTCGGAGCAGCTTCTGCGGATGCATGCCCCATCTGTACCTAAAGGCGAGTGCTGGCCCATTGTGGGTCAGTTTTCAAGCATTGGTTCCCTGGGGCCTGATGAGTCCAAGTGGCTGTGCTCAGAGTTTAAAGAGAGCTTGTTGGCACTGGGAGAGGACGGCAGAACTCCGGGAAAAAGTACAGTTCCTCTTCATCTGGTGAGCCCTCTTGCTCTCTGACTTCCTAATCTGTAGTCCAGAAGAATTAAGAAACAGCCTTCCTTATAATAGCGCTTTACTCTGGGGTGGGAAGAGGACACTCTTATTTGTGGTCCTGGTGCCACCCAGGGCTTCCGGTGTGTTCAGGAGCCTTGGCACAGCCACAGACTTGCCATGTTGTCTCTGTTCTTCTTTCAAGTTGTCAAGCCAAGGGAAGAAATACCAAATATATCACTGCAGAAGAAGCAAAGCTCTGTTCATTATATAGAGACCTGTGAATTAATGATGAATTTTATATTCAACTTAATATTAATTTGGCATTTCTGGGGGAAAAACATTTAAATTAATGTGTAATTTTTCATCAGTTATATACATGCTTCCTGTAGATTAGTTATTACCAGTTATTTTCCAGCAAGATGGGGATTTTCTTTTAAGATATAATTTCTCTCTAAGTTTTTTAGTTAAACATTTTTTATTAACATTTCCATTTTCTTAAAAATTAGCCAACATTCCTTTCTTTCAACATGATTCATGCCAAGCTTTATTGTTTTTTATCTTTTCTTGCTTTTTTTTTAGATCTATCCTTCTGTGGAAAATGTGCGGACCAGCTTAGAAGGATATCCTGGTAACACAGTTGTGGTTTCTCTGTATATTCCCAAAATGCCTTGGGCATGTTTTGTTTTGTTATGTTTTGTTTCTCATCAGAATTGGTTAGAGCTGGAGAAATGGTTTTCCCTTATCCAGATAAAGCAGATGAAACAGGTGGTGAGCTCTGCAGTATTCCAGAGAAGGGCAGTTCAGGCACTCCGTGCAGTGTGGCTTTCCTCAGCTTTACTAATAACCCAACATGTTGATTGTCAAGACAAGACGTCTGCCCAAAGTGAGCTCCCTAGCTCACTGCTGCCTTGACAGCTTGGCTAACATCCTCCTCTGCCTGTGTCGGAGGTTCCGTAGTCCTTCCAGATTTACATCCCAGATACAGATACAGTTAAGGCCTAGAGCTAGTGATGATGATTACCTTTTGTGTACCTTAGTTGACACGTCATTTTTCAGGGGCTTCACCTGCAAATGCCTAGTCTTATTTTCTTAAAAAGAAAAAACTCTCAACTTCCTTCTTCTCTTTTCCACTACTGAGCACTGAGCTTTTAAACAGAGCATCCTCTATAATGCCACCAGCTTATTAACAAAAGCTCCAGAGAGCATGCCTCTGGGAGAAACTAAGTCTGATTGGCATTCACGGCCTGCTGGTAGCAGAATGCACTAAATTAAAACTAATTTTGCCCATTTATTGCTTATGAAATTAGATGTGACCTTGCCAAAGGAATCTCAATAAAGCTGAGAGTATATTTGCCATTTGTTGCTTTTTAATGACAAAATAAAATTACTTCACTTTGACTCTGGGACACAGGTAGTTTTTCTTTCTGTACTTCTAATAGCCTAGAGCTATTCAAGGGCACTTTTAATGGGGGAGAATGTGGCATTTTCAATGAAGCAACTTTGTAAGTGGTTCTGCAATGGAATGTTTTTAGCTATTTGCAGTAGGAGACAGGACATACCTTTTTGGCCCCTGGAGTTGTCCAAATCCCTCTCTGCACATAGATTACTGTGATGAAGTTCCAAGGTGTGTTTGGAAAGTCACTGATGAATCTGCAATGGATTTTTCTTACTGAAAAAAAAAAGGCAGGAGTGTTTGCTGCGTATTTTCATCTCTTCCAGTCTGTGAGAACCTCCTCTGCCTGTCTGTCTGGAAATGACAGAGTGAAAAGGCAAAATGGGCAGGACTGGGTTTTGTCACTCACTACCTTCCCGGATGCCCTGCCTAGGACAAAAACTTAGTGAAGTGTTTCATACCTCCCTATGATCGTAAAACAGGCCCAGGTTCTCCCTGTGGTCTTTTCCAATACTTCAAGTCTGTGCGGATACCATCCCCACTGAGTAATTAAGTAACACCTTTTCTTTTCAGATAGTAAACTGTTTACCTGTCTCTTCTCCCAGAGAAAGGAAGCCCATGAAGAGAATGTACCTAATTTGAGTTCTGATAGTGTAGATCTTTGATCCCAACTACCCTGGAGGATGAGGCAGGAGGGTCACAAATTCAAGGCCAGCCTAGGCAATTTCATGAGGCCATAAATACAAAGTAAAAAGTGCCAGGAATATAGCTCAGTCTTAGGGCCCTTGCCTGGCCTGTGTGAGTCCCTAGGTTCAGTCCTCATTACCAAGACAGACACACAGAGAGAGACAGAGACACGGCGTGCCTGCCTCATGTAAGCATGGACATTTCCTTTCAATGAACTATGACTTAAGTGAAGTCATGGAAACAGTTGTTTATCATCTCCCCTCTCACTGTTTACAGAGATTTTCTTCTTAATGAAGACGCCTCAAGTTATACTTCATTATTTTTATTTGTTTTCTTTTCCTTCTTTTAAAAGCCGGGGGCTCTCTTCCCTATGGCATCCAGACAGCTGAAAAACAGAATTGGCTGCATTCCTATTTTCAGTAAGTAATTGGTTCTCAATGCTGCTCTTACTTCATTAGGACCAAAAATGTCGTCTCAGTCTGTTCTTTAAAAAAGTACCTTATATAATACAGCTAGATTCTTTCATCTACATATGTTAGTGATAGAAATAATTTAAAACATGGTTTTGAAAAAATTTTTGGAATAGGTTTTTAATACCAGAGTAAAATTTATCTCTGTAAGGTTTCTATTTAAATATTGTCGGGCAGAGAAAAAGATAAGTAAGAGATCCTGTTGGGTAGTTTATGGTTTACATAAGCAGTGTTTAGTTCACTTTGCCGAAGCATGAAGTATAACCATCCTGACTCTAGTATGTAGGCCACACGGCACACTTGCCAACTGTAGGGTCTGTGCCTCTGTCTCCAGGATAAAGACAGGGTTTGGTGTGCCAGCAGAGCTCAGGAAACCGGTGATGGGTGGGAAGGGAAAGAGAGGCTTATTCTTTCCTCTTCCAGCTACAGCACTTGCCTGTCCCGAATGTTCTAGACCAACCCCAATGTCGTACTCACTTCAGTAGTGGCTTTGCAGCTGGGCAGCCAGAAATGAGGGAGGGAGTCCATTTCCGTAGCTTTCTGCTGAAATTCCTGTTGGCCAGCAGCATTTCCATGGTATTCGCTCCAGATGGAGAGCTGTTCCTTACAGAGCGCGTCTATGCTTGGGCTCCTTTCGGTTTCCGATTCTTAGGTTCACTGGGATGAAGAAAATGGTGGCCCTCTTAATCCCGATTCCATGCTGGCCCACTGCCTGTTAGCTTCAGGGATCATCCCCTTCCAAGCCAGAGTCACTGCCTCATGAGGGAGGCCATCAGGCCTTGGAACCCTAGTCCTAAAGTGTTGGAAATGTGGGAGTGATACTCAAAGCCAAACTAAAGCATTTCTGAGTTAGCCCTCCTGCCTCTTAGCACTCGCCTGGGAGACGCTGTATTCCGCTCACTCTGCTTCTTTGGGGAAGCTTCTGTGGGAGCTGCTACTCAGTAGTGTGCACTATAGAGCACTACAAGCTTCCTGCTTCCAAGAGCTCACAGTCCACCCAGAGACCTGTGTACACATGTGCAGAAAAGCACAATGACGCCAGTGTAGTGCGCATGTGCATGCTTGCGCGTACACATGTGTGTATGCATGCATGTGTACTCGTATGTCAAAGGACGAGAAGCCCCATGTCATGGGTTTGATGCCTTTGTGGCTTGTGCTAAATTTCCTTTTTTGTCCCCCTTCCTTTTCAGAATGATTGTGTGTTCTGAACACTGTCATCAGCCACCACAGGTCACGCATCATGCTCCTACTGTCTTTCTAGATAGGATGTTGCTTTTTGTGCACTTCCCTAGCATGAGAATTTTGTTGGTCTTGAGTATTTTCTGATTGGTGGTTTACGTCTCTCCTATCAGCAAGTGGTCCGCAGAGACTTCTGGCCGAAGCAATGCCATGCCACATATTAAGACGTACATGAGGCTCTCATCAGACTTCAGTAGACTGGCTTGGTTTCTTGTGACAAGGTAAAGCTTCCTTCTTTGTCTCATGGGAGGTCTTATAACTTCTGCTCTGAAATTGAGTGGAGTCCTAAAACGTGTTTTGTGACGTGCCATTAGCCCCCAGCCTGCTTCTGTCCCTGAGACTTGGAGGCCTGTCTTACTGAATGTGTGATCATTGCTTGACTGTTCATGTCTATCTAGATGTTTCTAAGATTTTCATAAACTTTGGATTTACCTCTTTTTATATGCTGTAATAATAATAATAGTGATTAAGCAAACGGACATTTAGGGTAAATACAGAAGAAACATAAAATGTTAAAATGGTTACTTTTTTCTATTAACGTCTCTTTAGATAATTAAAATTTGAGCAATCAAATCTCTCATGTGCCATTTTAAAAACGTCTTTACTATGATATAATTCACATACCATAAAATCTGTGCATTAAAGTCTACAGTTTAACAATCTAACATGTTCACAGAATTGTACAATCATCACCATAATCTAATTTTAGAATATTTTAATCACCCCTAAAAGGAACTCACTACCCACTGACATTTTTGTTTCTCTCTCTCTTTCTTTTTTTTTTTTTTTTTTAAAAGATAAATTGCTTTGCCCTTTGGAAAATAGAGCTGTGACTAGAACATTATTAGTACCTCGCTCCTAGTCAGAACTCAAGCACTGGGCATCTCTTTGTGATTCAGTAAACTAATTGATGTCAATCACAACTAATTACACTATCACTGAGTGGAATTACTGCTTCAAGACTGAAATGGCACCCAAGAACACACTTCCAAACAAAAAAACCTTGTCACTTTTTTATGGCTAGCATTTGTGCCTGGTTCAGGGAAGGAATACTGACCCAAAGAGATGGTTGATAAACAATGATGACAGAGGCCACCCTAAAGGCTTTTGCAGCCTCAGAGCATAATGGGAAAACAGACTTTTGAGTGCTAAAAATAAACACTCAGGATGCTTTCTGTCATTTAGTAGCTATATAAACTTGGGGGTTTATTTAATCTGTGTTTGTTTCCTAGTCTGTAAAAAGGAAGAGGTAATGGCTACATTTGGGGTTATTGTGAGCGTTAAATGAGGTGTCAGAACTGGGTACCTGGGATAGAACGGGTCCTCAGTGTGCGGTGGAAGCGGCTGTGTATGATGGCAGTGGTTACACACAGTGAACAGACAGACGTGCAGGCAGAATACTCACACACATTTAATTTTTGTTTTCATTAAAGAATGTCTGATCTCCCTCCTAGTAACTGGCCATCATTAAGCAGCTTTCTACCTGTGTAAGGGTATCCTCACCTTCAATAACTCTAAATTTGTGGAGGGGCCGAGTCACCCTCTTTAATATTTCACAGTGTATATGTGTTTCTTTTCTTTTATGTAGTTAATTTGTTGAAAAATGTCTCACAATGTAGCTCAGGCTGGCCTTAACCCCATGGTAATCCTTCTGCTCCATCCTCCCTCCCCAGTGCTGGGATTACAAGCATGGGCCATTGGGCCTGGCTCAGTGCTCGTGTGCGTGTGTGCATGCGTGTGTGTGTGTGTGTGTGTGTGTGTGTGTGTTGCACACATATATTAGACAAGGTCTCACTGTGTACCTGTAGCTGACCTGGATCTAGCTATGTAAACCGGATTGACCTCAAACTCACGGAGATCCTTCTACCTCTGTCTCCTTAGTGCTGGGATTAAAGGTGTGGGCCATCGTGCCCTGCTCAACCTGTATTCCAGTAGGTGATAAGACACAGACCACATCATTTCTTCATTCAGGAAGTCTAGTGAGTTCTGCTTGTAGGATCTATGTGAACGACTGTGATTGATAATCAAATAAAGCATGGTCCCTATTATTCATAAAAGGCACTAAGTAATGCCCTGTTCTTTCTATATTTTCACTGCTTGTTGAGAGGATGAATGAAGATCTCATAATCATCAGATACTGAATTATTCTCTCTGTTTCAGGCACTATCTGTATTTCATGGAAGGAAAGAAATAGAGTACCTACTCTAGTATGAGTTTTCATTTAAAGTATAATAGGGTAGGCAAGGAAGGCCAGTAGTAGTCTCAGAGAGAGAGAGAGAGAGAGAGAGAGAGAGAGAGAGAGAGAGAGAGAGAGAGAGAGAGAGAGAGAGAGATATCAGATCAGGCTATAGCAAATGCAGCA